ATCTCGTTAAGGGATCGAACACCAATTATGCACCTTTTGTAAACGTCACTTTCGCTATAAAAAAAAACGATTAACAAAGCTTACAGAGCCAAAACAGTGCATTTGCATCAGTAACTCCAAATATGTGCTCACAAGATAGCATTTTAACATAAAAACAAAAGTGTGTCAATTGTCGAGTTAATTAACTAATCTCTCTCCCATTGTCATGCAATACGGCCACATTTCTCATAACAAAGTTTCTTTCTTGATGTAGGTCTCCACCTATTATTAACCGGTGGCTTGAGTCACACAAAATGTCCCAAAAAGCAATACGTATACCAATTTCCGCTATCCAATTCAAGGTTTGACATAGTAATAATAGCACGAAGTCCAACAATACTACTTTTAATCAACAGTATGAACTATCAAATTTATAATGAGAGTTGACAATCCAAATCATATAACTGAAAGTATTTCACATTTTCAATTCATTGCAGAAAGCAATCATCGAACTAAGTTCACAATGCTCTAAATATGAAAAGCAACAAATCGTAATGCAAATCCTATCAATGAAAATGTCGTAGATGTCCGGTCCCAATTTTATAAAACAAATGCTCCAAGCACTATCGCCTTCTTTTCAAATACCATGTCATGCCATGCTTAGCTTGTATCATAACAAATACTAAGTTTTCAAGACATGATATTTTGAAAATTCATAGGAAATAAAAGCACCACTCACCTACAACCAAACACCAAATTGGAAGCTACGCTGTTTTGGAAAAATTTGCAATCTTATCAAAGAAGCATTAACTAAATGTCAAACTTTTGCGCCGACAAACCTCGACTGAGACTCTACTAAGAGACTCTTTTTTTGGGTCAAACATCCACTCACTTTATGATATTTATTAAAAAGAATTGGTGGTGTTTAGAGAATATTTGTTGTATAAAGCTGGGCTGGGCATTTTCTATCCTTTTGGTTATTTGAAATTGACATAGTAAAACATCTCTTGAAATAGTTTGTGGGTTTTGATTTGTGAATTGATTTGAGAAATGTTGTGTGAAATGTGATAGGGGTCATAGGTCGCTCGATTCCTCAAGTTAAGTACTTTTGGTAGTTAAGGTCGATCCACATACATGATGATTTACATAAGCTTGGAGTCAACACCATCCTTACGACAACATAAACTTTTACTAATGAACGGCTGGGAAGTGCAATGACTCAGTTCCGAATAGGATGAGTTGTGAGAATGATTTAGATTGAACATGTCTCACTAATTGGATAGTCATTTGTGTTCTTTTATGACTTGTTGGAATTCCTATCCAAGGTGGGAAGTTTCAGCTAACAGATCATTAATTGGCCAGAAAAACAAATAAGAAATAATAACACAGACCTAATTGAATATGCTTTCCAGTTTTCATCAAATCTGGAAAAGGGTTTGTTTTTTCCACTTCTACAGTTTGGGCCTCTTGTCGTCGAGGCCATTGGGGTCAAACACAACAAACAGCTGCTCCTGTCAAATTTGTATTTCACATCAAAGCGACATGGTTATTGGGCTTAATCAGACCAAACAAAGTGGGTGGGCCTGAGTTTGGAATCGGGTTGTCATCGATCATGTTCAGAAGTGAAGTATCTAATAAGACCAAGAAAATTGTTTAAGAAGTCCTAAATCTATTACACTTTTTTTCAATTTAGTTATAAACTTTTCAATTTTGTCAATTGAGTCATAAACCTTTTTTCATATTTTGTCAATCAAATCCATCCGGCTAATTTGGTCGAAAATCGTTGATAAGGACTCCAACCGTCCTACGTGACACTACCAGCATACGGTCGGGTGACATGAACAAATTTTAACAATATCTTAATTTTTTTTGAATTTTTTATTTTCCTTTTCTTTTTTCTTTTCTTTTTCCTTTTTTTTTCTTTTCTTTGTTTTTGTAAACCTCCTCGGCGGCCACAGGCGAGGGCATCGCGGCCCTCGCTAAGATCTAAGCGAGGGCGCGGAGGCCCTCACCCGCAACCGACGAGGGTGTCAGCCCTCGCCTGGATCTAGGCGAGGGCCTGACACCCTCGCCTGTGCCCGACAAGGTTGCCGCTTTATAAAAAAACAAAGAAAGGAAAAGAAAAAGAAAACGAAAAGAAGGAAAATTAATACAAAATTTTGAAAAAAAATATAAAAATTTGTCCATATCATCGCCAGCCGTGCCACATTGGACAGCCGGTGTCCACGTCAGAGATTTCCGGTCAAAATAGGCTAGATTGACTCAATGGGCAAAACGTGAAAAGGTTTAAGACTCAATTGGCAAAAGTACAAAAGATTTAGGATTTTTTAGACGATTTTCCCAATAAGATCCTACATTACCAAATCATTGAAACAAGAGCAGCAAATTGTAGCAGTTCATAGACATGACCAAGCTCAACATAACTCGTGCGTGCACTTCCTATCCCCCTTAAGTTCCAGGAACAAACTGTTAGATTACATGGAATTCGTCTCCCGTGCGAGGGGAAATGTTGTTTGATATACTTCATGTACCCCGTCTCTCAACAATTTGCGTTTTGATTAGCCATGACAAGTCTAATGCCGTAAGTATATAAAACACGTGGCTTTCTTCTCTCTTCTTGCTAAATTGGGAATTTTCTCATATAGCTCAATCAAATGTGAATACCATGAAGTTGCTTTTCCGCAATAATTTACTAGGCCAATAGCACTAAAGTATAGTCAAAGAGAAAATTCAAAATAAGTGTTAAAGTATCTCGCATCGCTTAAAGTCTAAATTAACTTTATATATTCATGTTTAGGAAGAAAAGCCAAACGCAAGAGCGGTTTATCAATTAATGAAATCACGGAAATTGAACTCATCTCACGCTCGTCGTGTTCAATGGTCCACAATTGACAGAATTTATTTATGGACCGACTAGCAGGTCTGGCAGGCAGGCTCAGGCATTGAATTTTAGGTACAGCTTTTCACATTGCAAACGCTAATGTAACTGCTGAGGTGTGGCATTGACCATCACGTCGTTGTCCGAGTCACGACCACAAAAGTCGGACACCCGCAACAACCCACGAAGTTTCCAGGAAAGTTCGAAAAGCTTAAGATATGTTCGCAGCTTCACTATTAAAAGGGAGAACCGTATCGCACGGGAGACCCGCACTCGTACGCAGCCGTATACAACAAAAACAAGAAGTTGGAAAAATCCGCCACACGTCCCGGTTTCCCCGAATTGTCTATCTTCGTATCTTGTCCCGAAAAATTTATCAATTCAACCGATTAGTGATTAGTGATTAGTATTATTCTAGAGGTAAAAGGTTATTGTTTGTGCACTTGGTGTCGGTCACAAGACGCCAATATAATCCCAAAGCGAAGAAAACGACTGTTGCTACGCCGCGTTCTGCGACTTGTGCCGTGTGCATGTTCGAGGCTCCCCATTGGTCTCATCTTCTGAATTTCTGATATATCATATTGGTCGCGAGCCCGTCGCTATTAACTATTGAGTAAAGAAAGAGGCGGTTGGCGCGCTCGCTTCCCGCCAAACTGCCCGTTTCCGACGACTTCTTCCGGCCGTCGCGTGTAAAATCCGAAGCCACTGCACTATGAACGATGCTTGAGATATGCTTTAGCTTGAAAAAGTTTGGCTATAATGGCATGGCTATACTAATTTATAGAGAACAAAAAGCGAAACCTACAACCTAACTCGATTGTTATGGCCTCTAATCTAAGTTTCGTCGAGTAACTGCCTATCCTCATCCTTCCACACGGGCCGTAAAGTACAGAAGATTAAGGTACCGTAGTCAACACAGGTAAAAACCGTTCGCGCTTCGTATGACGAATCACCAAATGAAAGATCGGTAAGCAGACAAACCGGGTGCCAAGAGATAACGATAGACATTCCAGATGTTCAAAAGGGTATGCTTATCTGGAAGGTGGATAAAGCGTACATCGCCCATTCGGCTCTTGATTACGACCTCTTGTGTCGGGGAGATAGATCAAGATTTCACACCTGGCCTGCTCATGCTTGTAGCGATTTCAAGTAAAGCGCAGTTCTTTGGGGGAGAAAGATGGGTCTGCTTTTCATTCTTGAGTATTCAAAGAAAGCAACTCCCTTTCGTGTTTTATTCACAGTTCGCGTGTATCAAAACGTCTACTTTTTTTGTCGTTTTTGGTAGCGGGATGCAATGGGAGTTAGCTTTATGCGCGTGACTTGTTTCTCTTATGGACTGAGAGAAAGACGGGAAGCTGCGCGCTTTACAGCTTTTCGCGACTGTCCGTCCGTCTGTCATGCATTAGCAGGGAAACAAACAAGACATGTCCCTCACGTCTTACAGGAACGCACACAACCCAACAAGTTTCAATCATGGAAGAGAGAAGAGGATGTACACATGAATTGTCATTTTCGCTCTAAGTAGCAGCAGTAAAAGACAGAAGTCATTTGATCTTCCGGCGTGTTTTAATCGTCTTGTCTCCATGGAAATGACCCAATAAAAGGAAGGTTCAAGAAAGAACGACTCTCGGAAGATCGCCGGCGACCCTCTTCCCCCGGTAATCGACCCGCCGTACTGGCGGAAGATTTTCAAGAAAAGCAGGAAGAGAAAAGTGTGCTGAATCTAGAAGGCAGTCCTCAAAATTCAGCAGGCCTGCCGAATCAGGAAATCGATTTTGAGAGTTTGACTTAGGACCATGACAAACAAAATAAAGTAAGAAATAAGCAATTTGGGAAATGGGGAAGAGCTAGCGTCCAGTCAATTTAGCCACAGATAAGCCCTCCTCCCATTGTTGATAATGCCTCTCACCTTATGCCCAACGAACGTACTTCCAAAAAGCATGTTGGGATCACAGATCAGCCACCATACAGATCTGGGTCACTGACAGATTCGATCGTGCGAGCTTTGATCGATCCAAGGAATCGTATCTAATCCTAAATTTCGTGCCCTAGAATGGAGATCAATCATCATCAGTTCAAACAAATTGCCGTAATGAAGCAACTGGGTCATTAGAATATGCATCTGGAGATAAAACCCGACACAGACGAGAAAACAGAGTTCAAGTTTGATTTCGTCACTCGTATATGTACGGCAGAGAGAGAGAGAGACAAAATGACAAATTCCTCCCATCACAAAACAATCCCGGCCGTTGATCTCTTCCTTTGCCAAGATCTCGGCCCTTGTCACCCGCCCGAGTTACCATTTCCGAGACAAACAAGCACCAAAAAAAAAAAAAAGAAGGCGAAAATCACAACGGCGCACGGTAGGATCATCAGGTGCAGACAACTACTGACTTCAGAGCATTATCACTGTATAATACGGCATTGAATGAGTAGTGATAAGTCATCATCTTCATCTCTGCAGTTCCATCATCTGAGCGAAGTCCTCGAAGCACACGAACCCGTCCCCGTTCTTGTCCACCTCCGCGATCATGCGCCTGCACTCCTCTAGGGTGCACCGCTCGTCCCCGAGCGCCTTGAACACCCCGAGGAGCTCCTCCGCCGTGATCCGCCCGTCGTGGTCCGCGTCGAAGAACTCGAACGTCTCCCGCAGCTCCGCGTCGTCGCAGGCCGGCGCGCACGCCGAGCCCACCCGGCTCAGCAGCTCCTCGATGCTCACGGCGGCGTCCTCCCCCTCGCCGTGGCACCCCACCTCGCTCAGCATCACCGCCACCTCGTCCCGGCTGCCGAGCCGGCTGAGGAGGGCCTCCAGCTCCTTCCGCGACACGACCCCGTCGCCGTCCCGGTCGATGAGCCCGAACGCGCGGGAGAGCTCCGGGTCGCCCCTCCAACCCCCGCCGCCAAGCACGCTGGTCGGGGTCAGGGACTCGCGCTTGTGGACGGAGGGGGAGGAGTCGTCGGAGGAGAGGGAGGAGGCGGTGGTGCCGGAGCCGAAGGACGGCGGGTTGGAGCGGGACGCGACGGAGCGGCCCTTCCGAGACCCGAACAGGTGCTTAGGGCTGCCGAGCCTGAGGGCCTTGGAGGTGATCTTGATGAGCCTCATGGCCAGAGAGAGAGAGTGAAGAAGAGGAAGGAAAGAGACGTACAGAAGATAGATAAAGAAGGTGAGAGGAGCAGGTGAGGAGATAGAGAGAGAACGGTGGTGGAAAGAGGGAGGAAGGTGTGGGTGCTTAAATGATGGAGGTCTGGAGACTGCAGCGACAGCCATGGCAGCTTCCGCGAAGCTTCGTTTTGCGGAGAAAAATATTTCCGCGAATTTTCTTTGGGAAGGGTATTTATAGGATGTGATGAATCAGTGGGGCCCGGCGCCACTCCTTGATTGGGGAAATAAAACAAAATCAATCGGGGATTTAATGTGGACAAAAAATTGGTAGATCTGTTCGTTTTATCTCTCGTTTTTTTCCTTTTGCCTTTTTGGCAGCCGGTCAGGTCCGAGCATATATGCTTAGTTTTCATTTGTTTATTAGATTAACAAAGTGTCCGAGATACTTACCGAACATGTTCTATATGAAAAGGGTCGATACGGTGCACACTATGGTTTTTGGTTTTCATTGCTCTTTTGCTGCGCACCAATGACTATGAGAATGTATAAAGTTGGTTGTAGGTCGAAGCTACGTCGCTATAATGATTTGTTATTGGGTTTTCTTCCTAGGAGTCATGGCGTGGGGATTCCGGCCGCCGCTTTTAGCCAAGACTTGAGAGATTATTCTTTTCATTATAATTATAAATATTAATTAAAAAATATTATGAAAAATGAGAGTACAGTGCAGATTATAATCTTTTTTTTCATTACCCTTTTGCTGCGCACTAATGGTTATGAAAATGCATAAATTGATCGTATGATCGAAAATGCATCTCTGTAATGATTTGTTGATGGGGTTTTTTTCTTTTTTTTATAAGAGTGGCGGCATGAAACTCCGGGGGCGACTTTTTGTCGAGATTTGAGATTGTTTATTTTGGCCTCCGATGTTGGGAGGAAAATATTTCAAATTGCGGATGTACTACACGACAGTGAGCACTCGTCCTATTAATTTCATCATACTCGATCTCATATGTGCGTGCATCCCCTTCTTTTCTTTTCTTGAATTGTGCGATTACACCGAATGTCACTGCCAAGCCACCGCATAAAGATGACATTTTCAATGTTGTGTTCACCAAAATGAGAGCAAGGCGGTTTCTTTCTCCCACCGTGAAAGCGACCTTCTTCTTGGCCTCGGTTACGGCTCAAAATTGGCTTCGTATGTTTGTCTCGTGATGGATAATACTCTCGAGAACATTATGATGCTACGAATCTAACCTAAATAGTGAATTCAGATTGCAAATTGCAAATTGCCCAAAAAGGAAAGGCTTTTGAGGTAATTTTCGTAATCTGATTTCCCCATGGTGCCAATCATTTGGACGAAGAGGTTGGTTTTTTGGCTTTTGCTGACCCAAATAATTGTCAGGCCTTTCTTGAAAATTGTCAACAAAAAAAAAAACAGCAGAGAGTATAGGAACATAAATTAGAAAATAGGATAAAAGACACCAAAAATACTAAATTATGCACACTACGATATGTTTACTCTAATTTTTTTTTTCTGTGACACCAAAAATTTCAAATTTGTATCTGTACGACACATTTACCCTCCGTCAAAGTTCTGGTAATGTGAACAGCTAAAAATCTACCTGCATAGATGACATGGCACTCACATGACTTAAGTGAAATAAAAACGACACCATTTTGACTGAAAAGTCACATGTGATGGTAAATATGCTACATACGTATAAGTCTAAGGTGAATGTGTCGCGGTGAGTATATCATTTAGGGTTTTTTGCGGCTTTTTCCAAGAAAAAGGCAGAGGCTATAGGAAAATGAATTAGAATATATATTATGTGAATTATCCTACATTAATTCAACGGAAGGAATAAATTAATTTACGTCATGAAAATCGCGACACGTTAATCTCGTGGTTGGTGAAAATTTCGGGGTCGAGGGAGTCAATCAAGTCAACTATAAAGATAGATAATTCCACCTACGCAGGTTTTGCGTGTCGGTGAATTCCTAATATTAAAATCTCATAGTTTAAAGCCAAAATAGAGATTAAAAAAAGAAGAAGAAGAAGAAGAAAATATGAAGGGAAGACATTCTACCTTAATCAAACCCCAACTTGAACTTAAGAATATGGATTAAATGAGTGTTTGCTAGAGATACATTGAACCCTCACGTTTATCTGTGCGAGGAGTGGAAACAAAAGAATCCAAAAGATGGCATGCTTCACATGAGCTAGGCTTCTAGATTTGCCCCCCTCACAACTTGGAATAGATTGATCCACATTTTTTTTTAATTCTTTTTTTTTTCTCATTTTTAATTTCGTGATCGTAAATATATGTTTGAGGTCAAGGATATCGTCGTGTCGTGTGAGCGTTGAAGTAACGGGTATGATGTGTGTATTAAGAAATCTTACTAAACTCTTTTTTTTCACTCGGTGATATGGTGATGTTACATCGGATGTTTTGAATAGATTGATCATACGATGCAGGAGCACCAGTCTCGCGTATTTTGATACCTAGAAATTTGCCGTATAACTAAGCCCGCATGGTTCTCGCATGAATCGCAATGGGATCGGATTAGAAAAGGGGGGGGGGGGTCAAAGGAGGTTAAGGTGAATGATTTGACATTAGGCTAAACTTAGAAGCCGAAGCTCTTACGAGGGTCCGCATTGCCTGTCTCCATTTTATGGGGTGGACTCAATAGATACATTCCTCATTTTAACGTACCGGAATTCCCTCCAAATCTTTTTCATCCCTAGGAAGAGGAAATACCTTCTGGAAATTTTACACCTCAGTGATTCCGAGATCGGGACGCGAACCAAGATGGAGACTTCTAAAGACCTGGTCAGGTCGATTGGAGGCCACTTATATGCCTGATATTTTGTTGGAAAACCTCTTGGTGAATACGTGTGCATCTTCCAAGCAACTTCCCAGGTGCTTTCCAAGTTTTTGGGTTTCCCATGGCATCGACTGGACATTAGTGGCAATGTCGACGGGTCAAATTTCTCCAATCTTTTGTCAGCTTGGTGGTGGTGGGGGATGCTCACGTCAAGCTCATCGGCCCGATCACTTGTGGTTGAAACTCACTATGTGTGCACCTCCTTTTGATAAATCAATGATGTCGTCCACTTAGTATAACAGGAACACTTCTTAAGATTGATAGAGATATCGGGCTACATTTTTGTTGCGGGGAAGTAAAGAAAGGGTTGAAATTTCCGAGTAGGACGCATTGTGACGCCATCTTAAAGATGGTAATATCTCCGATAGGATTCGCGATCCAACGCAGCAGGCTCCGACGAAAATTTTGTCCACATGACACGATGCCTAGGCTCTAACCCTCCTCGCTCATTTTGTCTGCCGAGCAAGGGATGAGCGCGATTCGAGCCTTGAAATGACAGTCTATACGGAGTAGATACAAAAGCGACGATTTGGAGTGGAAGAGGACGAATACAGAATCGCATTGCTATACACGTGCCGTGGTTCAGTGTTACTGGACAATCACGAATCGCCTTTGAACATAATGAATATCCCGATCCGAGAAAGTGCCCCCCTTGCCATCGGATGAATGACGGGTTCACGTGGATTTCGAATTCTAAGCAAAGATCGTGTCGCGGTATCGAGCTCATATAACTTTTTTTTGAAAAAAAACCTACCATATAAATAATGACCTGCCACTTAGGATATGATTGGTAACTTGCCAAATAGTAACTAATTCTATTCTTTTACTTCAGGGAACAAAAAATGAACAGAAATCCATTTGGTAAATTTTTTTGTTCCCGGGCACAAATTTATTCCTAGGATCAGTTTTGAAACAGAATCAAGAATAAAAAAAAAATTGATTCTTGATTCTGGGAACAAGAATCAGAAATAGAAAAGATTTTTTTTTCTTTTTCTTCTTTCCTATTCTTCTTTCGTGTTCTTCTTCTTAGCCATGGCCGGGTCGCTGGCAACCGGCCACAAGCTAGGGCCGGTGAGGGCGTCGCGGCCCTCGCCGACCATAGGTGAGGGTCCCCCTTGCCGGATCCGGCGAGGGCCACAACGCCCTCACCGGCCATGGCCAAGAAAGATAAGAAGAAGAAAAAAAAAAAAGAACGAAATATTAAAATATTATTAATAAAAAGAAATTTTGTACAGTTACCAAATGCATTTCTGTTCTTTTTCTATTTTAGGAATGGAAATTTTAGGTCATTACCAAACGCCTTCAAATGCTTAGAAATTATTTTCGGAAACATAATAAAAAAAATCATTTCTGAGTAGAAATTATTTTCGGGAACAGAATGATTACCAAACACACTCTTACTTTCTTCGATAAAGTACTGCTTACTTCCCTAAAGGCCCAATTCCAAAAAAAACCCTCAACTTTACACTTTGTCCTAGGCCTAATTCCAAAAAAAACCCCAAACTTTACACTTTGTCCCAATTATACCCTGAACTTTTTTTTGTCTCAAGAAACACCTCAAACTTTTCTCCGAGTCCCAAATCTACCCTACCGTTATAACTCCATCCAATTAACGTGGAAAAAAAAAAAAAAAAGAACCAAGCGGTGCGGCACGGCGATCCTTCGCCAGGTGGCCGCGCCACGGCCCACCGGGAAGGAGCGGCGGCCCTCGCCCGGGCCTTCCCGAAGGTCGGCGACCTCGCCGGCCCGGCGAGTCGCGGCGAGGGCCTCGCAACCCCGATCTGGGGCGAGGGTCGCGCCCTCCCCGACGGGGCCGCACTCTCGCCCGGCGACTCGACTGGCCGGCCGGCGAGGGTCGCCGGCCGGAAGGGCCCAAGCGAGGCCTCGCCTGGGGCGCCGACCCCAGGGCGAGGTCTCCGGCCCCCGATCCGGGTGAGGGCGCGACCCGCCCGGGATCGAGGCCGCAAACCCCGCCGGCGATTCGCCCGGGCCGGCGAGGTCGCTGCCTTCGGAAGGCCCGGGCGAGGCCGCCGCTCCTTCCGGCGGCCGTGGTGGCGGCCACCGGGGAAGGCTTGGCCACGCCTGCACCGTCTGCCTTTTTTTTTTTTTTTTTTTTTTTTCGACGTTAATTGGACGGAGTTATAACGGTATGGTAGATTTGGAACTCGGAGAAAAGTTTGAGGTTTTTCTTGAGACAAAAAAAAGTTCAGGGTATAATTGGGACAAAGTA